TCGCAGGCTCTTCATGCTAAACTATAATTTACGGGATGTATGTTTCTTTAATTGCCTTGATGATACCCCTAAATTGTAATTACATTTTTATTCAAAAACATGCATGGAAAAAATAATTTGCATTTACCATGCATTCTTGAAACCAAGGATTAACCATCTTTTTTCATGTCTTCTTCTCAAGACATCAGCCGTATAGGGAAGGAAAAAAAATCTAGGCATGCACCTCAATAATAGCAATGCAATACTTTCCATAGGGCCATCTCAATAGTACATCAAAGATCATGGTACAAAATAACATTTTAGTAAAGTCACATAACTCTTGTTTAAGATGAGACGCATGGCCGAGAAAAATTGTTATGCCTTTTTTCGGGTTTGCAGCTTTTGCTACCCAATTCTAACAAGAGACTACACAAAGAAAATTTTGATTACGGGGGGGGGGGGGGGGGGACGGGGGGGAACTGCCAATTGGCGGAGAAACACATTAACTGATCATGCAAAGAAGCCTCAAAAACAATGCTATCGCATAATAAAATATCCCACTTTAATACTGTAATAATAGTGTCCCCAAGTAATAATGAATCCTAGGTGTGTGGCATACATTTGCTCATCTTGATATTCTATTTCCACTGAATCAGAGCAATGCTCAATTGCATTATGGATCTTAAGACACTCTAAAAGGATCAATTTCTCAACTCTTTTCCATCTTTGGAATACCTATGGGAAAAGATACTCCACATGGCATTTCCAAACTCTCATCAAACAATTATAATGCATCTCTTTCATATGCCAAACCAAAATATAAAAAGGGTCCGATGTTTTGAGCATCACCAACAAAATACATCCCTGCCATATAAAAAAAAAGAAACACATTAAATTATCATTATAGCTCTTTGTAAAAATACAACATTCAAATCTAATTGTCATTATATTTATTCCTGAAGGCATTATTAAATTTCACGATTTCTGAGATCAGTCTTGTGCTAAGTATGGCTACAATTTCCCTTTCATCCCGATGAACTCAAGAAGTTGAGAAGAGTTACTCTCCTAAAAACCGTAAGGCATTTATGAAAATCCCTGGTTTTCCACACAAAACAGATCCAATTCCACAAAATACAGGGTTACAAATAAACTGTAAACAATAACCTTTGTTCATTCTGCTGCATTTATTTTCAAGTCACTAATGCTATGAAAAAGATCAAGATGAAAGGCCCCTTGTGAGAGTTCGGAACCTGCCAGCAGGCGTCTTTGACAATCTGTAATGTTGAAATAGAAAGTAACTGTCAGAATATTTTTGATTATGATAATGGTGATTCTATTTCTGACCAATTTTATTTATTATTTATTATTATTTATTAACTTTGTTAATTTGTTTGCCCCTGGTGGCGCAGTGGGTTAAAGCACTGAGCTGCTGAGCTTGTTGATCAAAAAGGTTGCAGGTTCAATTCCGGAGCGGCGTGAGCTTCCGCTGTCAGCCCTAGCTTCTGCCACCTAGCAGTTCGAAAACATGCAAATGTGAGTAGATCAATAGGTACCGCTCCGGCGGGAAGGTAACGGCGCTCCATGCAGTCATGCCGGCCACATGACCTTGGAGGTGTCTATGGACAACGCTGGCTCTTCGGCTTAGAAATGGAGATGAGCACCACACCCCAGAGTCAGACATGACTGGACTTAATGTCAGGGGACTACCTTTACCTTTACCATCTCCCCAAGGGACTCGGTGCGGCTTACATGAGGCCAAGCCCAACACAACAACAAAAGCAATAAAACATCGATACAAGCAATTAAAAAACATAGACAATAAATACACAACATCATTAAAGAAGCAACACATAATTAAAACAGTGGGAAGGCCAAATGTAGAGTTAAAATTGGAAATAATGCTGGGCCATAAGCAAAAGGTGATACTAGTGTTTGTGGAAGGCATACGAGCAGACTCAGGGAAATGTAAAGTGCTTTGGAGGACAAAGTGCTATGGGATTCATTATTCCGGGAAGGCATACTGGAACAACCACGTCTTCAAGCTCCTCCTGAAGACTGCCAGGGTTGGGGCCTGTCTGATGTCTTTAGGGAATGAGTTCCAGAGTCGAGGGGCCACCACCGAAAAGGCCCTCTCTCTCGTCCCCACCAAACGCGCCTGCGATGCTGGTGGGATCGAGAGCAGGGCCTCTCCGGAAGATCGAAGGGATCATGTGGGTTCGTATACAGAGATGTGATCACGTAGGTAGGCGGGTCCCAAACCATTCAGGGCTTTATAGATAAGAACCTGAACCTTGAATTGGGTCCGGTAGATGAATGGCAGCCAGTGGAGCTCCTTGAACAGGAGGGATGACCGCTCTCTGTAAGGTGCCCCAGTTAACAACCTGGCTACCGCCCGTTGGATCATCTGAAATTTCCGGGCCGTTTTCAAGGGCAGCCCCACGTAGAGTGCATTGCAGTAATCCAGTCTAGAAGTGACTAAGGCGTGGACCTCCTTGGCCAGATCCGCCTTCCCGAGGTACGGTCGCAGTTGACGCAGAAGTCTTAATTGTGCGAAGGCCCTCCCGGCCACCACCGACGCCTGAGCTTCAAACATAAGTGAAGAATCCAGGAGGACCCCAAACTGCAGATCTGTGACTTCAGGGGGAGTGCAACCCCGTCTAGCACAGGTTGCCACCCTATACCCCGGTCTGGTTTACGATTGACCAGGAGGACCTCTGTCTTGTCGGGATTAATCTTCAGCTTGTTTGTCCTCATCCAGACAGCCACAGCGGTCAAGCACTTTTACCTTTTATCATGCAGATTAGTGCCTTGCAGAAATAATTCCTTTTATAAAATATTTTTTATTATTTTATCATAGTTCAATTCATTTGTTATACATTATTTATTTTCCAGTAGATTCAATACAACCTACCATACTTTAACTATTGGTATCTACTGTTATTTTTCTGCTTATACATATTATCTATCTCTCACCACTGTGCTCCTCTCCACCCCTCCCAAGCCACAGGTTTCCTTCTTTCTTTTTTAATCCATTTTCAATATATTTTCTCCATATATCATCAAAATCACTTTGTTTCCATAAACCTCTTTTAACTTTTAATATACGTGTCAGCTTATCATTTATTGCCAATTTCCATACTTCCTTGTACCACTCCTCTATTTGTATATTTATTTCTCTTTTCCAATTCCTTGCTATAAGCAGTCTTGCTATCTATATAAATAAATATGTAATGTTCGTTTGTGGGATTAACAGAACTCAAAACCCACTAGACGAATTGACACCAAATTTGGACACTACACTGTCAGCTCACTGTAGCTGCTCCCAAATGAAGACACAGGACACGTTCTGGTATTGGAGGAAACTTTCCTGCAAATAAGCAGTGGAAAGGACTTAAAACCCCCAAAAAACTAAATGACAAAACAGAAAAAAGGAAGAGGAAAGGAAGGAAGGAAGGAAGGAAGGAGGGAGGAGGGAGGGAGGGAGGAGGGAGGGAGGGAGGGAAGAAGGAAGGAAGAAGGAAGGAAGGAGGAAGGAAGAAGGAAGGGGAGAAAGAAAGAAGCCTGAAAGCAAAGAGCGAAGGAAGGAAGGAAGGAAGGAAGGAAGGAAGGAAGGGGAGAAAGAAAGAAGCCTGAAAGCAAAGAGCGAAGGAAGGAAGGAAGGAAGGAAGGAAGGAAGGAAGGAAGGAAGGAAGGAAGGAAGGAAGGAAGGAGAGAAGAAGAAGCCTGAAAGGAAAGGGAAGGAAGGAAGGGAAGGAAGGAAGGAAGGAAGGAAGGAAGGAAGGAAGGAAGGAAGGAAGGAGAAGGGATTGAGAAAGGGAAGAAGAAGGAAGGAAGGAGGAGGAAGGAAGGAAGGAAGGAAGGAAGGAAGGAAGGAAGGAAGGAAAGGAGGTAGAGAGGGAGAAGAGAAGGAAAGAAGAGGAGGGAGGGAGAAAGAAAAAGATATGAAGGTAGGGGAAAAGGAAGGAAGGAAAGAAGGAAGGAAGGAAGGAAGGAAGGAAGGAAGGAAGGAAGGAAGGAAGGGGAGAAAGAAAGAAGCCTGAAAGCAAAGAGGAAGGAGAAGGAAGGAAGGAAGGAAGGAAGGAAGGAAGGAAGGAAGGAAGGAAGGAAGGAAGGAAGGAAGGAAGGAGGAGAGAAGGAAAAGGAGAGAAGAGGAAAGAAAGGGAAGAAGTAGAGAAGGAAGGAATTAGAGAAGGAAAGAAAAAAGGAAAGAAAGGAAAGGGGGAGTGAAGGAAGAAGGGAAAGAGGTAGAGAAGGAAAAAAGAGAAAGAGGGAGGGAGGGAAGGAAAGATAGAAGGAAGGATGGAAGCAAAAAGAGAAGGAAGGAAGGAAAGTGGTAGAGAAGGAAAAAGGAGAGAAAGAGAAAGGGAAAGAAAAGGGGAAGTAAAGAAAGAGGGAGAGCAGGAAGGAAGGAGAGAAGGAAAGCAAAAAGGAAAGGGATCGAAGTAAGAAGGGAAAGAGGTAGAGAAGGAAGAAAGGAGAGAAAGGGAAGGAAAAGAAAAAGGGAGGAAGGAAAGAGGTAGAGAGGGAAGAAAGGAGAGAAAGAAAGAAGAAAAAGGAAGGAAAGAGGGAGCAAAGGAAGTAGGAAAAGGAGAGAAAGGGGGAGGGAAGGTTGGCCACAGCAACGTCTGTCGGGTACAACTAGTTGTTAATAAGTTTGTTATCACATCTTTATCCTCTTTTTTCCAATGTTTATTATTATATAATGATACTAAAGCTATACTAGGACTTCTTTCTATTTTAATGTTCATTATAACCTCTATTTCTCCAAATACTTTCCCCCCAAAAATATTTACATATTTACATTGCCACCACATATGTATATATGTTCCTGATTCTTGACATCCTCTCCAGCAATTTTTGAGTAGTTTTTTTTTATTTATATTTGCTATTCTTCCTGGTGTTAGGTACCATTTTCATATTAACGTATAGTAATTATAGTAAAAACCCCAAAAGGGAACATTTACATGTACAATTTTATTTGTAGCACCAGAGCATATAGCACTTCTTCAATGCCCTTACCTTCATACAAGGTCTGTCTCTAGTACATCTTCAGTTTTAACAGGCAATCCCTTTTCATATGTTCCCATTTCGTCCGCTTTTCTCTTCCGACATTTCTTTTTGAAATAACTTGAAAAAGAAGATGCAAAATTACATCTCAACAAAGTGATTTTTAGTATACCATTCCAAAGGCAAGAAAAAAATCAATAAACCTCTGTGTGTGTGGTTGTTATAAATCTAATTGCTAGTTGCAAATATATCACAGAATTAAACTTGATGAGTCAACAGGTATAAAAATTCTCATGATTCAATGGGTGCGTCTACGTATTTGGGCTTACCACTGGGTTTAGGCTCAGGTCTACCATAGCATTCAAGTCCCAATGAAGTAAGAGAAATCATAGAATCAAAGAGTTGGAAGAGACCTCATGGCCATCCAGTCCAACCCCCTGCCAAGAAGCAGGAATATTGCATTCAAATCACCCCTGACAGATGGCCATCCAGCCTCTGTTTAAAAGCTTCCAAAGAAGGAGCCTCCACCACACTCCGGGGCAGAGAGTTCCACTGCTGAACGGCTCTCACAGTCAGGAAGTTCTTCCTCATGTTCAGATGGAATCACCTTTCTTGTAGTTTGAAGCCATTGTTTCGCGTCCTAGTCTCCAGGGAAGCAGAAAACAAGCTTGCTCCCTCCTCCCTGTGGCTTCCTCTCACATATTTATACATGGCTATCATATCTCCTCTCAGCCTTCTCTTCTTCAGGCTAAACATGCCCAGTTCTTTAAGCCGCTCCTCATAGGGCTTGTTCTCCAGACCCTTGATCATTTTAGTCGCCCTCCTCTGGACACATTCCAGCTTGTCAATATCTCTCTTCAATTGTGGTGCCCAGAATTGGACACAATATTCCAGGTGTGGTCTAACCAAAGCAGAATAGAGGGGTAGCATTACTTCCCTAGATCTAGGCACTATGCTCCTATTGATGCAGGCCAAAATCCCATTGGCTTTTTTGCTGCCACATCACATTGTTGGCTCATGTTTAACTTGTTGTCCACAAGGACATATATGATCATATATGGCATATATGATCAATCAGCTTGCGATTAGAGATGGGTCCGCAGGCAAAATGGGGTTACCATAGTTATTTCTATGGTTCCTAGGGGACCAATAGGATAGAAAATGGTGCCTTCAAATGCCTTCTAGAGCAGGACTGTCCAACCTGTGGCCCGCATGTGGCCCAAGACACCTATAAATGTGATTTATTTATAACCTGATTGTGTGATTCTCCGGCATGAAATTTGTAGATGACAATGGAACAGAATGGAATAATATCCCACTAGTTTCATGTTGCCCTCTTTTATTTTTATAAAAAAATTAAAAAATGATTAAGTTATATTATTTAGATATGTACATTTTCTGTATCAGTGATTGTAAACTTTTGAACTGCTTGATTATTTTTAAAGACCTTCCAAATGAGGTGGCACACAACTAAAATTATTATTATTATCATTATTATTAGCTTATCAACTAACGTTAGTGTTAGTCTATTTTATGTGTAGCCCATGTGCTGGTACGACTGTACCAGGAGCTCCAAATTTATTTGCTTTGTATTAAATGTTTGCTTGCAGCCCTGGGTTTCGGGGACTCTGCAGATAGGTGGCTTCCTTTGGTTGCAGTCGTAGGGCAAGTCACCTGTCCATCATCGTTAAGTTTTGGTTCCGCCCCTTGCTCAGGGCAATTGGGAAGGGAGCCATTTTTAGTTAGTCTCAGCAAGGAAAGCTAATGTGCAGGACGTGTGCAAGCTTCCCCTGTACAAAAGCTTCAACCCTTAAGACTTTCCGGGGGGAAACAGTCTTAAGAGCATCAAGACGTTCCTAGGGAAAACAGTCTTAAGAGTCTCCAAAGATTTCCAGGAAAACAGCCCTAAAGACCAAAGAACTCCAGCTGGAGAGTATCTAAACCTTTACTGGTAGGTCCACTCAGTGCTTTGAGACGCAGTTTGACCTGGCAGCGGAGCCCACATCAGTAAGGGTTAGATTACAGTCAGCCTGGGAGAAGTTAAAAAGGGGATTTTCCTTTAAAGTAAAGAAGAAGTTATTGAAGACAGTTGCCTGTCCTTCGTGGGCAAGATTAGGAAGTCACCAGTTGCATAAAGCCTGGAAGCATTTGTTTAGCTTTATTGAAGACAAGAGAAGTTTCTGTTTGATTGTTCATTAATAAAGACTTTGTTATACTTCACAAGCCATCTAAAGTCATTTGTGGTGGAAAACCTCTGAGAACTTCTCCTTGGGCCCCCTGGCTTCCTGCTGGGCAAAGGTTGCACATCCTGTTCTAAAGGAAATTCTTTACAGGCTCAGCGCGCAACAGAACAGCCCAAGACTATTCAACTTTTTTCCAGTGTGGTCCTCCATAGTTTTTCTGGGTGTCCCCCTATCCCCTGATATTTGCCCATCCTACTTTAGGTTAATGAAAGGAATCTTGTATATTAATTGATCAGCAACTGTTGATTAACCAAATACACCTAGTGTGAGTTCACTTGGGGTACTATGCCAATCTGGTAGGAGATCTTGAATGTAGCACCTCAGCACTATTCAATATGGCTACTAATTATTTAGATGAGAGAACAGAAGAAAACAGGGAGGAACACAAAACAGGATCATAGAATCATAGAATCATAGTATCATAGAGTTGGAAAGATACTTCATGAGCCATCCAGTCCAACCCCCTGCCAAGAAGCAGGAAAATCACATTCAAAGCACCCCTGACAGATGGCCATCCAGCCTCTGTTTAGAAGCTTCCAAAGAAGGAGCCTCCACCACACTCCAGGCAGAGAGTTCCACTGCTGAACAGCTCTCACAGTCAGGAAGTTCTTCCTCGTGTTCAGATGGAATCTCCTCTCTGTAGTTTGAAACCACTGTTCTGTGTCCTAGTCTCCAGGGCAGAAGAAAACAAGCCTGCTCCCTCCTCCCTATGACTTCCCCTCACATAATTTATACATAGCTATCATGTCTCTTCTCAGCCTTCTCTTCTGCAGGCTAATAATGCCCAGCTCTTTCAGCCGCTCCTCATAGGGCTTGTTCTCCAGATCCTTGATAGTTTTAGTCGCCCTTCTCTGGACACATTCCAGCCTGTCAACATCTCCCTTAAATTCCTGTGCCCAGAACTGGACAGTATGATTCCAAGTGTGGGCTGACCAAGGCGGAATAGAGGGGTAGCATTACTTCCCTAGATCTAGACACTATACTCCTATTTATGCAGGCCAAACAGATTAGTACAAATCCATACATTTCATATGAAAGAATCGGTCTCAACAATAATAAGGTTGAAAACTTGGATTTGCAAGAGCACATATTAAGAAGATGTAGGCAGCTTAGAATCTTATCACATTGAGATATAATCCATTTATATCAGTATGCATCCTATTATTATTATTATTATTATTATTTAGGGCTGGGTCCATACTGTATTGAGACAGGATGCATACTCTCCTCCTCGCACCTGATTATTACGATTCTTACGATTTGAAAATACTGTGCTTTGACTCATCACACCACAGAAGGCTGGCTCTTCCCAGTCCATTCAAAACACCGCTTACATCACATGACCCTTTTAAAGGTATTGTTGCTGATGGGATGCACTCAGATTTTTGCTATCTGATGGGACCTGTTCTAAATAATTCTCAAACAGTCTCAGAAACAGAGTATTTCCTAATGTGATACGAAACAGAGTATTTCCTAATGTGGCCATGGTGGTCCATACCCTAGTCGCCTCTAGGTTGGATTACTGCAATGCGCTCTACGTAGGGTTGACCTTGAAGACGGCCCAGAAGCTACAGTTGGTCCAGAGATCTGCAGCCAGACTACTCACGGGAGCTGGTTACAGAGAGCGGTCAACCCTCCTGTTTAAACAGCTCCACTGGCTTCCAATAAGTTTCCGGTCCCAATTCAAGGTGCAGGTCACCTATAAAGCCCTTAATGATTCGGGACCTACTTATATTCGCGATCACATCTTCCCCTATGAACCAGTGAGTACCTTGAGATCCTCTGGGGAGGCACTGCTCTCTCTCCCCCCACCGTCACATGCACGGTTGATGTTGACAAGGGAGAGAGCCTTCTCAGTGGTGGCCCCCAGGCTCTGGAACTCTCTCTCTAAGGAGATCAAACAGGCTCCCACCTTGTCCTCCTTTCGTAGTCAACTAAAAGCCTGGATGTTCCAGTGTGGTTTTGACTAAGCAGCTCACCAGTAACTTTCTTGTCCCTAACTTGAAGTTCCGCACTTTACACTGGCATACGTTCTACCTCAACACGTGTTGTGACAGTATTTCCTGCCCAGTTTACTGTATTATTGCACTTTCCTGCGCTCCTGTAAAAATGTATTGCACTCATTGAATCTGTACCTCAGCTATGTTTCTTTCAGTCGTATTGTTTTTATATTGCTTTCAGCTGTGTTATTATTTGTTTTATCTGATGTTTTAATTGGTTAAAGTGTTTTACATATGTGTTTTAATTGTAATCTTCTGCGTGTCCCTTGTAAGCTGCCCCAAGTCCCCTAGGGGAGATGGTTGGCGGGGTATAAAAATAAAGTTATTATTATTATAAGGTCCAGAGTGTATAAGAAGCTGAAGTCTTGGTATTGGATCAAATGGCCAAGAAACCCAGAATTCTGGTGCTACAGTAGTCAATCAAATGTCTATGGAAGCAATTGTATTTATTTATTTCAACTGCATGAACTAAAGTAAGGCAAAAGCATGTAGGCTCTTCAGATGCAGGGGGAGAGGGGTCATAACTATTTTTTCCGTCATTGTTTCTGGTCTTATCCCCTTCACAAGGGGAGTCGTGAAGGGATGAGTGTGTTTTGTCTGAATCACGAAGGATCTTCTTCTGTTCCTGGAACCGATCTCTCCTCCAACTCCCTCCTCACATACATACACAGACACAATTAAAGGTTTCTGAATGGGTTGAAGTTTGGCCTGGACAGGTGACGTCAAAAATTGAACAACTACCGTAATATACGAGGGGTATTTTTTAAGTAAGGTCCGTTTTGTTGTAGACACTAGTAGTTCACGTGCATACCGCAACGAGCACATGCGTCGTGTACCGGCATGCCTCGGGAACAACTGTGCTCAATTTCCGCTCTGTAGCTAACCTGTACGGTTCTGTTCTGTGATTTAAAAATGTTTAAGACTATCAACTCACCCGCCGCATGTGAGGTTCGCTCAGTGATACGGTTTTTGTCAGCAAGGAACCTGCCTGCTGCAGAAATTCATTGACAGATTTGTGAAGTGTACAGTGATACTGTTATGAGTGAAAGCAAAATGCGTAAGTGGGTACAACAATTCAAAGATGGCCGTGACAACATCCATGATGAGGACCGCTCCGGTCGCCCTTCTTTGATTACAGGCGATTTGATTTGATCGCACACTCAAATCTTTGGTTTTTGTGGTCCTCTGTTAGGAGTTTCAGGACCCAACGGGAGCAGTTTCCTAAACTTTAGGTGTTCAGAAACAATGCTGTAAAGCAGTGATCTTGACACGTCAGGAAATTCGTTTGAGAGACCTGTTATTGTGAAGTGCCTGTTCTCACGAATCCTCGCTGAATCCTCACGTCTTCACCTCGCTGAAACCTCACCAAATCGTCTGTAATCAAAGACGGGTGCTCGTTGTGGTATGCGCGCGAACTACTATTTTATTATTATTTATTTATTTCGGTTTCTTCTACCCCACCCTTCTCACCCCGAAGGGGACTCAGGGCGGCTTACAAAGGCACAATTCGATGCCAGCATCACATAACAGTAGTAAAACAAAATAACATCAATTAAACAGTTAAACAGTTGAACAGTTAAACAACAATTCCTGCATTACAACCCTAAAACCAATAAAACAATACAATCCCAATTACTCCTCATAGACGGTCAGCGTTCGCTATCTCATAGTCCAAATTCCAATTCCACATTGTCAGTCCTGTCAGTCCTAGTCGTTTGATTGTCCTTATCTAGTTGTCAGATTGCTCAAAGGCCTGGTCCCACAACCACGTCTTTACTTTCCTCCTGAAGGAGAGGAGAGATGTTGATGCCCTAATTTCTCCCAGGAGTGAGTTCCACAGGTGAGGGGCCACCACCAAGAAGGCCCTGCTCCTCGTCCCCACCAGCCTCACTTGTGATAGCGGTGGGGTCGAGAGCAGGGCCTCCCCAGATGATCTCAAACTCCGGGGTGGGACATAGAGGGAGATACGTTCGGACAGATACACTGGACCAGAACCGTACAGGGTTTTGTAGGTCAAAACCAGCACCTTGAATTGTGCTCGGAACTGAACCGGCAGCCAGTGGAGCTGACACAGCAGGGGGGTGGTATGCTCCCTGTATGACACTCCGGTGAGTAGTCTGGCTGCCGCTCACTGGACCAGTTGAAGTGTCCGAACAGTCTTCAAGGGCAACCCCACGTAGAGTGCGTTGCAGTAGTCTATTCAGGATGTAACAAGAGCGTGGACCACTGTGGCCAGATCAGACTTTTCAAGGTACGGGCACAACTGCTGCACAAGTTTTAACTAGTGTCTACAACAAAACGGACCTTACTTAAAAAATACCCCTTGTAATATATCTTTGTAGGAAAAAAATAGTGATATTTGAAGCATTAGGGATTGTCTACTTATCTGCTTTCAGGGGACATAATACTTACTGAGCGCAAATGCATATGCAAACAACCAGGATTATTAGTATCACCATGACAGCTATCAAGGAAACCACCATGAGTTGACCCTGTTCACCGCTCTTATAAAACAAGTCCAGTCTGTCACATCTTGCACCAGTGAAACCGTCCTCACATCTGTAAAGAAAAGATGAGAGATGTTAAATAATGACGCAGTGTATACTCCTCGCCTACTAAAACATATGTCTTCTAGTTGACCACTATACCAAGCAAATACTTAGCCTAGAGAGAGAAATTGCTGAATGTACAATCCTGTTGCTCCCTCATTTTAAAAGAGGAATAAATCAATATCATATTCCTTCCTCCTTGCTTTCCTGGGAACTCCACTATTTTACAATATGGATGGGTTCCTTAGTAAACAGGTTAAACACCAATAATCCACTTATAAAGATAATATAATGAATAAGTCCAACAGATAGGTAAATTGTGAAACAAGGACTGTTCAATTCACAGTAGTCACAAAATTAAGCAATATGCAAAGAGTTCTGTATAGTCTTTTAGTGATGTCGTTGTATGTTCATAAATCAGCCTCCCACGACCGGTTTCGGCCTTTGCTTTAGGCCTTCTTCGGGTGGTAAAGTTCAGTCTTTTACATATGTTCTCATAAGAGATACTTAAATATTTTTTGCAATGGGATAAGATACTCTGCTTCTAAGTTTGACTCGCAATTAGAATCAAACTTAGAAGCAGAGTATCTTATCCCATTGCAAAAAATATTTAAGTATCTCTTATGAGAACATATGTAAAAGACTGAACTTTACCACCCGAAGAAGGCCTAAAGCAAAGGCCGAAACCGGTCGTGGGAGGCTGATTTATGAACATACAACGACATCACTAAAAGACTATACAGAACTCTTTGCATATTGCTTAATTTTGTGACTACTGTGAATTGAACAGTCCTAACTCCACTATTTTATCAGATTATGTCGGAGGAAGCGAAGCGAAGTGTCTTTTCTTTGGCAACACCACGACTAAAAAAATTATTGCTTAGATTAACTACAGGAATTGTTAAACTGCTCCTCTTTTTAACATTTAATTAATTTATTTATTTACAGTATTTATATTCCGCCTTTCTCACCCTGCAGGGGACTCAGGGCGGATTATAATGTACATATACATGGCAAACATCCAATGCTATAGACACACAACATATATATTTCAGGGCATTACTCCTGAAACGGCTGCCTTGTTGGCTCCACAACGAAGAGCCATTTAGTGAGCAGACCCTTCAGGCAGCACAGAGCATTGTGTCCTCCATCTCTGAAACCAAGAAAGAACAGTGGATCAAGCTGATCACAGAGGTCGACATGGGCAGGAGCAGCCAGAAGGCGTGGAGGCTGCTAAGACGGTTGAGCAATGACCCCTCACAAACTAATACCCATGCCAACATAAAGGCAGATCAGATAGCACACCAACTCTTGAAGAATGGGAAACCCAACCTTGCCACCAAAGTAGGAAAGAAACCAATAGCCAGACAACCAGAGATTGAGAACAACAACCTCCATGAACCCTTTACATCTACCGAATACAGTAAAGAGCCAGTGACATGGCTCTCAACAAATGTAAGAATGGCAAAGCAGCTGGCCTGGATGATCTACGGATGGAACAAATCAAGAACTTTGGTCCAAAAGCAAGGCGCTGGCTGCTGGAGCTGATGAACAACTGCACTGCATCCTGTCAGATCCCCAAAATCTGGAGGAAAGCAAGAGTCATCGCCATCCTGAAGCCAGGCAAAGACCGTAATGATCCAAAAAGCTACAGACCAATCTCCCTGTTGTGCCACCTCTACAAAGTTCTGGAGAGACTTATTTTGCATAGAATTATGGAAAAAATAGACCCGTGTCTGATTCCACAGCAAGCTGGCTTCAGGAAAGGCAAAAGCTGCACATCGCAAGTGCTGAACCTGACTCAGCACATAGAAGATGGCTTTGAAAGGCAGCAGATCACAGGAGCTGTCTTCATAGACCTGTCAGCAGCCTATGATACTGTGAACCACCGCCTCCTCCTGAGAAAAATGTATAATATCACAAAGGACTACCACCTCACCCGCCTCATAGGAAACCTGCTACAAAACAGGAGCTTTTTTGTTGAGTTCCAGGGCCAGAGAAGCAGATGGCGGAAACAGAAAAACGGCCTGCCACAGGGGAGCGTACTTGTTCAACATTTACACAAATGACCAGCCACTGCCAGAAAGGACAGAGAGTTTCATCTATGCTGATGATCGTGCCATCACCGCTCAAGCAGGGAGCTTTGAGATGGTAGAACAGAAGCTCTCTGAAGCTCTAGGTGCACTTACTGCCTATTACAGGGAAAACCAGCTGATCCCCAACCCATCTAAAACACAGACATGTGCCTTTCACCTTAAGAACAGACAAGCATCCCGAGCTCTGAGGATTACCTGGGAAGGAATCCCACTGGAGCATTGCAGCACACCCAAATACCTGGGGGGAGTCACTCTGGACCATGCTCTTACCTACAAGAAGCACTGCCTGAACATCAAGCAAAAAGTGGGTGCTAGAAACAATATCATACGAAAGTTGACTGGCACAACCTGGGGGGTTGAGAAGTGCAGGGTAGAAGCACTCAAAATAAATAAATAATAAATTATCCAGGTGGAGGCCACAAGGGGGTGCAAGGGAGAGAAGGATAGTCCATTTTACAGGGGTAGAGTGTGGGTTGAAGTAGTAAAATCATTTCCCCCCGTTTTCTGTTATTCCTTCCACCCATGTCGCCATTGTGGAAACAACCCTCTTTTATGAAATGGGTAGTGGGGAGGGGGAATAACCAGCGAAAACGGAGAACATGGTTTTCCTCCTTCAACTCCCCCCTGTAAAATAGACTATCCTTCTCTCTCCTTGTGGCCTCTGCCCGGATAATAGAACAGTGCCAAATATGCAAACTTAGCACATCTAGGTTATTGTAGGTTTTTTCGGGCTATATGGCCATGTTCTAGAGGCATTCTCTCCTGATGTTTCGCCTGCATCTATGGCAAGCATCCTCAGAGGTGCTGAGGTCTGTTGGAAGTAGGAAAATGGGTTTATATATCTGTGGAATGACCAGGGTGAGACAAAGGACTTTTGTCTGCTGGAGCTAGGTGTGAATGTTTCAACTGACCACCTTGATTAGCATTTAATGGCTTGGAAGTGCCTGGGGGAATCTTTCTGTTGAGAGGTGATTAGATGTGCCTGATTGTTTACTGTTGTTTTGCTGTTGTAATTTTAGAGTTTTTTTAAAAAATATTGGTACCCAGATTTTGTTCATTTTCATGGTTTCCTCCTTTCTGTTGAAATTGTCCACATGCTTGTGGATTTCAATGGCAAGCATCCTCAGAGATAGTGAGGTCTGTTGGAACTAGGAAAAAGGGTTTATATATCTGTTGGAACTAGGAAAAGGGATATATTGGAGCTAGGTGTGAATGTTTCAACTGACCACCTTGATTAGCATTCGATGGCCTGGCAGTTGTTTGGTGTGGCTTGTTGGTGCCTGGGGCAATCTTTTGTTGAGAGGTGATTAGATGTCCCTGGTTGTTTCCTGTTTTTTGCTGTTGTAATTTTAGAGGTTTTTTTTTAATACTGGTAGCCAGATTTTGTTCATTTTCATGGTCTCCTCCTTTCTGTTGAAATTGTCCACATGCTTGTGGATTTCAATGGCTTCTCTGTGTAGTCTGACATGGTGATTGTGAGAGTGGTCCAGCATTTCTGTGTTCTCAAATAATATGCTGTGTCCAGGTTGGTTCATCAGATGCTCTGCTATGGCTGACTTCTCTGGTTGAAGTAGTCTGCAGTGCCTTTCATGTTCCTTGATTCGTGTTTGGGCAATGCTGCGTTTGGTGGCCCTATGTAGACTTGTTCACAGCTGCATGGCCATATAACCCAAAAAAACCTACAACAACCCAGTGATTGCGGCCATGAAAGCCTTCGCCAATACATTAGCACATCTATTTTCCCTATAAAAAAATAATTTGGAACATATCTTTCTCCAGATTCTGTTATATCCAAATGCTCTACTCTTGGAAGAAATCTGAATCTTTCACTTGACAAAACTTTTTGATCACTCATCACCATATAAAACAATTTGTGGGTGAAATAGAATCAAAGTTTCCACATAAGTATTTCATCATTGTCATACTATGGAAGAAGCCCCAATTAGAAAAAGAAGAAAAACCTGATTCTGTTAGCAAATTGATTAGTAGCCAAACAGGTCCAGAATCCATCTTGCCAGAAGTCAACTACTGCTAAATGCAATATTTTGAATGCTTTGAAATTTAAACATACAAGCATGATGGTGTCTCTTCTACTGCAATGTAACGACATCTCCCCTTGAAGCAGTAGTACTTATATTCCTCAGGACACATAGAAAAATGTCCCCCTTTTCGCCATCCTGTGGTGCCATCTAGAGATTTTAAAAAGACAAAAATGTTATTTTTCATTATAGAAATAACTATGCATTCAAAAAACTTCAAACCAATTATGCTGCTGTGTTCATTTCTAATCCAAATTTCCCATTTCCGTTAAACCATTGCTTCTCGATCATAAATGCTGCATATGACTTTAAGCATTCACATACATTCTCTACAAGGCGAAGGAAAAAATA